TTCTATTCTTCCCCCAGTCATTTAATTTAGATCAAGGGAGCCGCTGATCATTTGATCTAGATCCGACGCTTCAGAGTATTTTTTTTAGTTTTTTATACAAAATTATATGAATATGAAATACGTGCTATCAACTCTATGAGGGACACCTAAAAAAAATATTCCTAATAATTTTTCAATAAAATATAATAACCAAAATACCCTTTTAAAATTTCAGAAGTATTTTGGTCATTTTATTTTATTAAGAATATATATTTTTATATTTGTTTACAGGTGCGGGTTTAAGAGGAGTGGATGCACAAAATTTGGTATCAAAATATTTTGTAAAAAAATTAAAAATAAGATAGTGTAGAGACGTGACATTATGATTGGGACCATCTCATCAGTCTATTCATAATGGATGGTTGGATAGGAGAAGTATATAAGTTTTATGCTATAGGGGAAGCATAGAGAGCTCATCTAAAAGAAATATCTCCAATTTTCTAATTTTAAAGTAATATTCTTTTTTCCCTTAAAACTTATATACTTCCCCCTATTTTTTTTGGAGATATTTCTTTTGGGCAAGCTTTCTATGCTTTCCCTACTCCATAAAACTTATATACTTCTCCCTATCTAACCACCGTCCATTCTGAATAGACGGTTGAGATGACCCCAATTATAATGTCACATCTCTACACTATTTTTATTTTTAATTTGTTTTTATACGATATTTTGACACCAAATTTTAGGCATAAACTCCTCTCTTAAACTCACACTAGTAATATATATAAAAGAAATAAGAAAAAGTTTATATAAGGTTGCAACCTTAAAATGTAGAACTAAGGATGTACCTCAAAAATCTATCGGAAAGGGTTATTTTAATGTTGAAAACCCCTCTAATTGATTATCTCGACATCAAGATGAATGCATGTGAAAAAAAAAATGATTTAAGTCCCAGAAATAGTGCATCTTGCAACACCCTATCTAGACCGTTCATTTTTAAGATTTTCATATATGTATAGACCTACTTGATTTTAACTATTTTTAGAATTAAATTTTTTATATTTAGATATAAAAATAGTTTTTAGACAATCCCAATAGTTTTTTACACCAAAATCACATGCTATAATAAAATTTAGAGGTGCACCTTAATTGGACTGTTTAGGTCGCAACCTTATATAAACCACACCCAAAGAAATATTCTTAACAAAATATAATGACTATAATACCTTTGAAAGTTTCAAGGGGTATTTGGGTCACTATATTTTATTGAAATTTTTTTTTAATACTTTTTTAGGTGAGCCCTAATGAGAAGATGACATGTACCAAATTTCATATTCATGCAAATTATAGAAAAAAATCCAAAAATAAAATACTCTTAAGGCCTCTAAACTGGATGGGGGAAGTATCTTCTATGCTTGTAGGGGAAGCATAGAAACCTTTATCGAAACAAAAAGTATGTTTGCACCTTGAGAATAACATACTTGAAATGTTCACCAAAAAATGGGCATTTATACTAATAAAGTACTTAGAACTTCACTCTACAATTACCTGTATCTTTTATGAAAATATCAACAATACATTTTCTAAACAAAAATGACCTTACTCATTTTAAGAATATTGAATAATTAAAAAGGGCAAATACGATAATTTTAACAGTTCACATCTTTTTATAAATATAACCTATACGATTTTATGGGGTGTTAGCTTATGCAGTTTACATAAGACTGCAACCTTAAACAATCAAAGTAAGGTGCACCACCAAATTGTATCATAATATGTATTTTAGTGTAAAACATTCATAGGAAGACATGAGAATCCATTTTCACCTCCAATAATGTAATTTTTTACTTCAAAATAAGTCAAATCAAATAGATATATGAACACATGAAAATCTTAAAAATAGATGGTCCAGTTAATATGTTGCAATATGTACTATTTTTAGGTTTTTTTTTGGCGATAGTCAATTAGAAGGTTTTCCAACTTCAAAACAACACTTTGTGACATTTTAAAGTTGCAACTTTATATAATTTCTATTACATATCTTACAAATACCTACGGGTGAAGTTCTAAAATTTGTATCATTTATTTGGATGCCTTCCATCTTTAAGACATATATTAGATGGTCAGTAGATACATGCATCCCTCACTCACAAAACACATTTGCTTCTAGTTAGCATTGTTCTATAATGTATGAGTTTTACACAAGTAAGGCGAACAATTAAATTTATACTGTAGAAGTAAGGCGAACATTTAAATTTTGTATGTAGATGTAGTTCTGGTGTCAAAAATGGCTTTAAAATATCTATTTATACCTTGTTATCAAATTAAAAAAGTTCAAAATAGTACAATTAAGTATGACTATAAAAACTTAAAAATTTCGAAAATAGACGGTCTAGAGTAGAGGTTGCAGATGGCTTGGGAAAATGAGGAGTGACTTTACAAAGTGATGTTATTTATGATACAATTTTTTGTTGAAAGTCTGTAATCCGTGATTGATTAATAGAATTAAAGTAATATTGTCAAAAAAAAAAAAAGAAGGGTAGAGGTGGCAAGAGGTCGGATCGGGTGGACCCGGACCTACACCCAACCCAAAAATTAAAATACCGATGTATTTATCTATATTTAAATATATTAGAACTCAAAAAAAACTACTGGACCCAAACCGGGACTAGAACCCAAACCTAAATAGCGTTTAGGGCGAAGATTTGGACTTGACCAATCAGGTCCAATTTTTGGACCCATTCTCAAACTTAGATCGGATTTACCCTCGAGTCCCGGGTTGGGTCTGGATCCATTGTCACCCTTAGTCAACCAAAATTATTACAAGATACTCTATTTCCAGGTCTTATAATTTTTCTTTGCCTTCGTATTCATGTATATCGAGGTTGAAAGGATCGGGTTTTCCAAGGGGTTTTTAGAGGTCGACCTTCCATTAATTATATATGATGTTCATACCTTATGTAAACACTTATTTTGTAGCCAGTGTTACCTAAAAATGACCAATGACTTGCCATTTGAGCACTCTACCCTATTTTGCACAGGAAATGTGGTGGTGTTCACGGATGAAACCTCTGAGATCCACAACCAAAACCCGTTTGCTCTCTTCCGTCTCACTCTTATGACTGTTTGGAAATCTAAAATCTCATTCCGTGGCGCCGCTTCTGCAACCCATCCCATGAATGACTTAAAAGCAAGCACATGAAGCCACTGATTGAGAAACACCATCAAGTCCAAAAAAAGCTCACATTTTTATCTCTCTATGAATCTTGCGTCCATCAAAACTCTCACCCAACATGGTAGATTGAAGCAAGCAATAAGTTTTATAATCCATATGCGTCATCAAGGTATGTTTGTCCCCACAGACTCTTTCTCTCTCATCTTTCATAGCTCTGCAACATCTAAATCTTTAATGGAAGGCAAACAGCTTCATGCCCATGTTATAGTTTCGGGGTTCCAGCCCGATCTCTATCTTTCGAACCATTTGATGAACATGTATTCTAAATGTGGGTGCTTAGATCACATTGAATCGGTTTTTCGCGAAATGGGTAGAAAGAATTTGCACTCATGGAACACCATGCTTGCCTGTTATAGCAAATTGGGTTTCATCAGTGATGCTCGTAATCTATTTGATAAAATGCCTCATAGAGATTCAGTCTCTTATAACACCATGATTGCATGTTATGATAAGTATGGGCCTTGTGAAAATGCGTTAGAAGTTTTTAGAGCAATGAAACTTTCAGGTTCGAAAGTGGATCATTTCACAGTTTCTAGTGTTATTAGTGCTTGTATGAATATAAGTTTTCTATGTCAAGGGAGACAAGTGCATTCTGATGTTATTAAGATTGGGATTGGTCTTAATGTCTATGTGGGTAGTGCTCTTGTTGAATTCTATGGTAAATGTGGTGATATAGATGAGGCTAGGAAGGTTTTTGAAAGCATGCCTGATAGAGAAGTGTTTTCATGGAATACTATGTTATTGGGGTATGTTCAAAGTGGTAGAATTGAAGACGGAATTCTGTTTTTTGAAGAAATCCCATGTAAAAATGTGGTTTCATGGACTACGATAATATCAGGGTGTGTACGCTGTGGTTGGAGGGATAAAGCTATTCATTTCTTCAGTGGGCTGCGTCTGGCTAACTTGAAGCCTGATTTGGTTGGTTTTGTGAGTATTGTGAATGCATTTTCAGCCTTATATTGCCTTGAGGAAGGCCAAAAGGTCCATGGTTTGATTATAAAAGCCGGATTTGAATCAAATTTGGTCGTTGGGAATGCCCTTGTGGACATGTATGCAAAATGCGGTAGCTTAGACTGTGCAAGTAGAGTATTTGAAATTATGCACTATATGGATGAATATTCATGCTCGGTTTTGATTTCTGAGTATGCAAAGTATGGATTAATAGATTATGCATGTGAGTTTTTTGAAAGTTCAAAAGTGAAGGATATTTCCTCATGGAATGCTTTGATCGCTGGTTATTCTGAACTAGAAAGAGATTGGGAGGCTATAGAGATTTTTAGAGCGATGAGGATGGAGGGTGTGAAGGCTGATGAATTCACTTATGGTTCCCTCATTCGGGGTTGTTATTTATATGGATTACGATATGGCATGCAACTTCATTCACAAACTATTAAAATTGGCATAGATTCTAGTGTATATGTGGGTAGTTCCCTTATTGACATGTATACTGAATTTTTTTATTGTCAAGCAGGGAGGATGGTCTTTGATGCTATCTATGAAAAGAACCTTGTTTCTTGGAATGCCATGATTAATGGGTATGCACAAAATGAGATGGGGCTGGAGGCCTTAGAGCTATTTTGTCAAATGCGAGCTTTAAGAGTGGAAATAGACCGTGTCACTCTTTCTTCTGCTCTCAATGCATGTACTAGTTCATTGGCATTAAGCATGGGAAATCAAATCAACGGGGTCATACATAAAGCTGGTTATGTGCATGATGTTGTGGTTGGGACTTCTCTTATTGACATGTATGGTAAATGTAGGGACATGGACCATGCATTATGTGCATTCTCCACGATAACCCAACATAGTGTTTTCTCATGGACTGCATTGCTTGGGAGCTATGTCAAATGTGGAATGTGGGAATCTGCAAATGAATTATTTGAAAAGATGCCAGAAAAGAACATTGTTTCTTGGAATACAATGCTCTCTGGCCATGCCCAAAATGGGTCTGGGTTTGAAGCAATAAAACTTTATTCATTAATGTTAAAATCGGGTGAGTTGCCTGATGGGATAAGTTTAATATGCTTGTTGGCTGTTTGTAGCAATCATATACTGGAAGAACAAGGTAAACAGGTTCATAGTCATGCCATTAAGACGGGGTATTACATGAATTTGTCGGTCAAAAGTGTGATCATCAATATGTATCACAAGCTTTGGAACCCAAATAAGTCGGTACTCGAAGTGTCTGAGCAGGCTGCCATCTCTTGCAATATGTTGAACGTGTGATGCTAAGGGAGGCTTCTATTTTGGTTAACTTGGTGAATCAAGTTTGATGTTGGACATGGTTAGGACACTGATCTTTTGAAGTGTTGATGATGATATATAAGGTTCAGCAAATGGGTAGGGCATTGATTTCAAGTGGCCACGAAAGATTCTTTGGGAAATTAGAGGGAGAACAAGTGGGTTCTCTTCTCTTGCTAATGACCAAGTTAGATGGGGTCATTCAGTTGACAAATTACATGGAAGCACTAGGCAACATTGCTAGTGCAAGGTAAATATGTCTGCTTTCTTTCATTCTTTCTGATGCTTGACACAAATTTGTGTTGGGAAAACATACTATGATTTGCTAGTGCAAATCATATTTCGTCATCCATGTACAATGACCCAATGGATGGTGATGCAGGTAGAGAGGGCTCACCACATCAAAACATCATGCCAATCGTGGGTCTCACTCTTCTCCCTGTCGCTGTCCATTTTTTCAATGGACGGTGATGAAGCCATGGACTATGGTTTTCCATTGTCCACTGGGTTGTAGCATACTTTCCATTTGGCTTTTAGTATTTCCCCTAAAAATTTGCTAGCTTGAAATGATTCACACCAATCAATTCCTGAATAGTTTTTATTTCATCTGAAATAATTCGTGCCAATCAAATATCTTGCTGTGTGTGACTGCAATTTGTTGCCATCCATGTTTCTATGCCTTCATGTGCAGAAAGGGAAGGTTTGAAATTTGAGCCATATGAGCTCAGCTGTTTTTGGGAGGTTGGGCTTTGTCCTTCATAAACTAAAAAACTGTTTCCATCATTTTTTTTTCAGAGCTAGCGATGGTTCAACGACAATTTTAGAAACTCCATTCCAGTATAAACTTTTGAAGCCCATGGGTTCCTTGACTGCTTTTTGCCACCTATTGAAATACACCTTACTATATATTACAAATGAATTGATATTAAGTATCTGAACAAGTTAGATGTTACTGAGGCAGTGATTCCACCTTTGATCTATCAGAGGAAGCAAGTGAGGATTCCATTAAGAAAGGAGGAGGCTAGCAGAAGCCAAGTTATAGTCTGTTCTAATACAATTGAACAAGATTTTTGTATCCTTGGCACTCATGAAAGATGGCAACAAAGCCATTGGCAAACAACAGGTACAAGATAGTTGTTGGATTTTTTTTTTTTGAGAGTGTAATAGTTGTTGGATTATTTTAAGGAAATGTTTACAAAGAGACTATTTACTTTTAGTACAAGGAGGTCACAAACACTATTGTCCATAAGATTTCAAATTGGGTGGTTGTAAGATTGTAACTAGACTCAAAGTTCAAAAAGAAATTTCTCGAACTTTGTGACTAGCCCTAAGCCATCCAATTTGACATCTAATGACTAGATGTAATAGTGACCTTGTAACAAAGATAAATGGTCTCATAGTAACAATCCCTTATTTTAAATTGCACGTGTTAAGAGACAATCTACCCCAGTCCAGTAGACCATGTTATATTTTGCTGCAAAGGCCATATCTGCTGTGCATTTCCCCTGATGGATCATTGAAGATTACCTGGAGTGGAGCCTGTAGGGACATTTGTCCTGGTGCAATTAATCTCTACGTTCAATATTAGAAAAAAAAAAAAAAAAAAACTCTAGCCATTCGCCAGTGGGAACGGATTGTCCATGTAACTTGCAATATCATATAATTATAGTTCATTTGATTATGGTATAATGTTTCTGTTGCTAATGATTTCATTCATTTGTATTTTATTTTACCATATTTCTGCTAATTGACCTTACTTTCTCGTTTCATGTTCCAGCTCATTGTTAATAATTTGCAATTTGCAAGTGGCCCATGGGACCATTTGCTATCAACTTAATTGACGAAGAGGTTCAGATTCTACAAATGAGGTAAATGTGTACTTAAATACTAACTCAAATGTATTTGGTTACTAGATTAAAAGACCTTGGGTGGTCGGAAGCTCTTAGTATTTGGTGCCTATATTAAAGATCACAGTAGCCTATTTCAGTTGGTAACTGAGGGTTGGAAAGTAGTTCAATTCTCTCTTGGGCAATTTGCTTTATAACATAGCATTCAATAGAGAATATTGTAGAGTCCTTTTTTTTTTCCCTTGAAATGGATAATAATGCTCTTTTCGTTTTTTTTGGGGAACTGTACAAGAAGCTGGTTCAATTTTTTTGATTCGATATATTACAATGATGGGAGAGAGTCCTTCATACTTCTTAAAAATCCCTTGTTCTATAATCTCAGCCTCGCTTAGACTCTTAACATTAAAGGTGGCAATGGGCCGGGCACTCGGTTAAGTCTGGGGCCTGGCCAGCATATGTGGGTCACAAGGCCATGCAAATCTAAAGGGCCCCGGCCTGGCCCAGCCCAGCCCTGCTGCCTGCAAAGCCAGGCCCGGCATCTCTGCTTCGTATTTAATTTGCCCTGTATCTCCCCAAATGTTTCTGTGTGTTCTTTGCTTACCTATATGGTGGAACTCCAAAAGAACTCCTAAGCATCATCATAATATACACATTACACTCCATGCCCACATTTCTTGTAGCTATCTAATATTTAATATATGATCGGGAATTCATATTATCCTTACTATGTTTTCATTGCCACAATTGGTGGTGTATTTTGGACCTCGTTAATATATGGAGCTGGACTCTCCTCACAGATGCATTTTTATAAATGGATTCCCAAGTAACTCTTCATTTTGTTGCTAGACTCTCCGTAGTTTAATTTTGATGATTTTTAGGATTTATTTATGTTTATATCTGTTTTTTATTTCGTTTTCAGGTTGGGTCCTGTGTTCGCCTCTCTTTTCAACATGCTCTTCATGACTGGATGATTCAGGTTTATTCAGTGAAAGGAAAAAGCAAGGAGAACGGAACAACATCTTACCTCCCCCATGCTGGGGGCTTAATTGGCATTTTGTTTGGCCCCAAATTTGGCACGTTCATCCTCTTGTTGCCAACAAAGAAGATTGTGAGAATTTTTTTTAAAAAATCTCCAAAATGGTGTTTTACGAGTGATCACATGCAACAAATGTGCACTATCCATTTAGAAAAAAAAAAGGGTGTTAGATCAAGGTCCTTAGTGGTTTTATTTAACCTCAAATTTGTCGATTGTCTCATTATCATCAGATGAACAATCAAAAAAAAAAAAAAGGATTATGGGCTTCTTTATCGGGACCAAGAGGATGCGCCTGCTATTTTAGGGCTACATGGTTCTAACAACTGTTTTTGGCCTCTAGATTGATTACATCTGATTCAAAGTTCTAACAACTATATTTTGCCTGTGCATGTATTTGTAATGCTCAGGCATGGTGCGTGCATAATAAAAAAAATTTCATGTGCATACATTGAACCATACATGCATGTATCTATGTATTATGTATGTATATATGAGTATGATTTATGTATGTGTGTATGTATGTATTTTATTTGCATGTGCCAATACCATATTCTTCATTTGTCTCAACATTCCTTCTGCAGGACCATTGTTTTCATCCCTGGCACCTATATTATGTCATTAAATATTTGGTTGATCCAGATGTATATATACACGTTTTTGTGTGTATGCATGCATGCACCTGTTTCTAAATATACACACACACCATGACAACAATAGACACCCATGCAACCATGTATCAACTTGTACGTGCTAAATAGTACAGTTAGCTGTTGGCTCCAAGACCCAATTTCTTATTTGTTCATATATGCACATACATGTGTACATCCATAAGCACACAAGCATGTATCATACGGTTTAAGGGGAAAGGTTTTATAAGCCATAGGCGTTATGCTGCTGTACAAGCCCATCAGCTAAAACACATAGCTAGAGGGAAGAAATTTGAATTTTTATCAATAAATAAATTATTGAAAGAAAGTGATTTTGAGTTCTTAAAAGGCCTGGATCCGCTGTCTATTAGATGGACGACATAAAAGTTTATGGGCTTATATAATCTTTTGGGATTGTGTAAGGCGAGATGTTGGCTACAAACACAGTAAGTCGTCAGATGTGAAAGTCGACAGATGGGGTGCGTTGTTTCTCCATACAAAATGTGAGAAATTTTCTCGGAATCTAACAACAGTTAATAAATAATACACCCCACAGCCATCCAATTTCACCTGTTATGGCTCGGGTAAATGTGCCTTTCTGGATTGAAGTGCAGTTCTACTTTGAAGCTTGGGTTTTGGACTTTGTATCCTCCTTAGCGGTTCATTTCTTGGCTTAGTTACTGTGTGATTATAAGTTTCATAGCATGGATCTCAAAAACTGCAAAGCTTGCAAAACTGGTTTGAGATATTCGATTGATCTCTTGATGTGGGGTGGGAGATCCATCTCTCTCTCCCTCTCTAAAAAATCTGCCTTGTCCACTTTTTGAATCTTTGTCTCATATATAT